CACTCATATCCTACCAGATGGTCACTTTCCAATTGATTTGGCTCATCTGTAGAGAAAAACTGAATTAAAATATTACAGCACCAAAGAGACAGTATATAATGGCTCAACCTTACATATGAGGGTTTCTCACAGTTCTTCAGCTGCAAATTCTGTATGGGTGTGAGGGTTACTCATTGGTGTAATAAAGTGCAATAACCCATGGAAATAGAGGTCCTGTGCACCAACCAAAATCAATTACTAGCATGTACAATAAGTACATGTCAAAAGGTTGAATGACCGTATAAAGAAACAAAATGAAATAGCTGTTTTCTAGTCAGCAAAACTAAAAACTATTCCAATTTTGACTTATTGGTTGTAAAACGTACAATATTGTCAAATCTTACAATTGAATTTAAGTCCATTGAAATAAAAACTGAATGCTTTGCCTTTGGATAACTGCTTTTGTTCAAGTTAGTGCTGGGTATCAAACTTCAATACTTTTATGAAATGGATCAAATTACTTCAATGAAATCAAACAGTGTTCTACTATGTTTTTATTTATTGATGTTAATGTTAACAGAACTTAAGGCTGTGGTAAATAGGTTTACTTTTTATGTGATGAAGTTGTTTTGATGATGAAGAGGAATTACGATGCTTTGTCGTAGTGGTGGAGGTGGGGAGAAACAATGACCCGAATGCCTGATTAGGAATAGTGTGAACAAGGCCGTCACTGGATTGAGCTTTCCACAGAATATTTATGCCTCAATCTTTTGCTTTCCTGCTGTTTAATTAGTGCAGAGAAAGTAAAACTCCTCCTTTTAGATATTTGATTGATAGGCATCTCTCTTCCCAACCCTGTTTGGATGCACTAGCACAGAGTAAAAGTACATCAAAGCTAGTAAAATAGCATCTCAGCCTTTCAGGAGGTGTCTGAAGTGTGTGCTACCTGTGAAGAAGAGAGTGCAGAGTTTCCCTTTGAGCATGAACGGTGTGTGTATGAGTGTGACAACCTAAAATGAACACAGCTAAAAACTCCTGCCAGTCGCAGTCACATGGCTCTGTTTCTGCACCTACAGTATGCCCCAGTGGTGTATACGCTATGTGTGGTGCCATTTTGTTGGCTCAGCCGCTTTCCAGTCGTTGAAAGCTCAGGCATAAAAAGGTCCTTGAAACTCAATATAGCAACAAGTGATCTTAGCTACACAATGAACTGCTGAGATCATTGCAGATTTCAGAAGATTCCTCATGTCAAGCTGTAAGTTAGAAGAAAGAAGTGAAGTCAGTATTATATTCCAGACACGGTTTATTGTTACCATATAGAGAGTAAATAATTTTCTTATTGTGCATTCCCTGAATAATTATGCTAATAGCCCCATGAGCAAAATAATGGTTATTTTCTGGCTCATTGAAATAATGAAATTATTTAGTTAAGTGAGACAGTAGGCATTGAGTTTTGTTTGTGTTAGATACACTATGATTATATTATTCTGTTGTAATTGTAGTGCATTGTTCCACCAGAGCATGATTGATGGTGTTTTGGTGTCTTCATATTATCTGTATGAAAACAAAAAAAGAGGACTTGTTTGAAGTGAACTCTTCATTATACAGTATTAAAGAACATAAACAAAACAATTAAACAAGGATCATATGTATGGATTTAGCTGTGTCGAGGTTTGAGCCTTTTGTGACCAATTGATGTGTCTGTATGTGAACATTGCAGCTGGAAATGATTTTGCGGGATCACACACATTATGGCGAGAAATTTTTTTAAGAGGACAAATTTTCTGAGGAAAAGATGTAAACAAACTAAACCAAACCACAGTCACATTTAATACACAGTATTATAATACATCAAAAATATGTTACTAAACTGTAGTAATGAGGACCACACGTGACACTTATTCCACTGAAATTTGTTTGCTGGACTTTTGGGTGTCCTCGTATTGATTTGTTTGTGTCACTCATCTCCTAACGCACCAAAAATACCATGCAACACCAGGGTGAGAAAGTAGTTCAGCCTGGAGCCAAATCAATGGAGAGAGGCTTTTGGAGGTTGTTTATGACCATGCTGTTGGTCCATGATGCACAGACACAGCTGGCAAATAAAGTGTGCTTAGAGGATGGCAATGTTTTGATTTCCAGAAATCTGCAATGAAAATGCACCATTATTACAGGCACTGTCATCAGCATGGATGAAAAAGTTGCTAGTGTATTTCAGCA